TGCAAGGTTTGGGTGTGGAGGATGACGAGAGGCGCCGGAAGCTTATCCAGGGGGGTTCGTGGGGTACCTTGGCGAGCCGAGCCAGGTGGCCATGGCGGCCGGAGGCCGCCCCCTAGCCGTCGCAGCGGAGGTTGGTCGTGAGGGTGGCGAGGGCGGCGCGGTCCGCGAGGCGGCGCGCGTCGTCTTCGAGTCGGTGGGAGAGGGCGCGGGCCTTGGACGTCCAGGTGCCGTCGACGAACTTGAGGCCGGAGATCAGGTAGCGCGCGCGGTACTTCGCGGCGGTGGTGCCCCACTCGCGGTGGAGCTCGTTGCTGAGCAGGGCTTTCGCCTGGTCGGGGCACGCGCAGCCCATGGAGATCCAACGCGACTCGGAGAGCGCGGTCGCGACGTCCGCGAGCAGGGACGAGACGTCCTTGGAGGCCTCGGAAAACTGGCCGAAGACGAGGCCGACGCAGCCGCCGAGGGAGCTCAGCGCGCGGAGCATCGGGCCGTCGGAGACGCCGTTGATCTCAACGAGAGGCGCCGGGATCGTCCGCGACTGCCGTCGCCGCCGCAGCCGTCGCCGGCGGCGGCGCCACTCGCAGGACGTCGCCGGCACCCTTCCCTACGAGACTCACCGACCACACGTACCGACGTTTCCCTTACACGATCCCGGCGCGCCTGGGGCGCGCGGGGCGATGATTCACACGAGCTTGACCCTGGAGCTCAGGTACGCGTAGGCCGTCGCCGTCCACGCGGCGCCGACGGCGACGACCACGAGCCACTCCGACAGCCCGTACTGGTTGTGCGCGCCGTCCTTGCGCTCGAGCACCTGCTCCGTCTGCACGCCGCAGCCTCGGAGCGCCGCGACGCAGTCGCTCACGGCGAGCTCGTAGCTCGCGCACGCGCCCAAATCGATGACGGCCGTCGCCGTGCGCAGCGCCGCGTCGACGTCGGCGCTGACGACGAAGCGCAGGTTCTCGAGGGCCTGCTTCGCGTTGGCCTCGTTTACGCCGGACTCCACCAGCGCCAGCGACACCGGCCGAAGCCCGGGCAAGGGCATGAGATCAATCAAATTCTCGCAACTCTTCGACGCCATGGGCATGATTGCTGGAACGCGTTGCGAGAGCACGCAGCGCAGACTAGACGAGGCTCACGCAGCGCAGACTAGACGAGGCTCAAGCACTGATGCTCTGGGCGCAGACGAAACGAGGCTCAAGCCCGATGCTCTGCGTTTGGCTCCGACTTGGTCGGTCAGCATCAACAATCAAGATCTCGTAAACATGGGGTCAACCGGCTCGCTTCCCTCCCTAACCTTAGGTCCTTACTTCGACGGCGCGTCGATGAACGACGGCGAGGCCCGGTCCGCCGAGGAGAAGTTGCAGAGGAGGACGTCGGAGTAGGACGCGTCCTCGGCCTCGCCGGCGTGGCCGAAGCCGCCGGGCGTCGCGGCCCACGACGACGCGCGCGCGTCCCGCGGCGGCTCCGCCGGCTCCTCGAGGTCCTCGGGCCCGTCCTCGGGCGCCGGCGCCGCCGGCTCCGGCGCCGGCCCCGGCGGCAGGTCGTCGGGGATGGGCTTCGGCGCGAATAAAGGATGGTCCTGGAAGAAGTACTTGAAGGCGAGGAAGCCGAGGAATCGCATGACGACGCAAATGAGCGCGAGCGCCGCGAGCGCCTCCCGGACGGTCTGGTGGTAGCCGTAGTAGTCCGCGGCGTCGTCGCCCCGCTGGAAGACGCACTTCTGCGACGCCGGGTCCCGGCAGCCGTGCATCTCGCCCAGCCCCTTGAGCTCGGACCGCGCCGCGGCCGAGATGCCCCAGTTGAAGAAATTCAGCTGCTTGATCCAGCGCGCGCCCTCGGGGATGGACTTGTTGTTGATGTAGTGGCCGTCGAACATCATGAAGAGGCAGTAGGCGACCGTCGCGATGTTGTTCGCGC